ACCACCTTCATCCTATGTCTGCTCCAGTATATATCACCTCCCTTCAACACCTTTGTTATACCACCTTCATCCTATGTCTGCTCCAGTATATATCACCTCCCTTCAACACCTTTGTTATACCACCTTCATCATGTCTGCTCCAGTATATATCACCTCCCTTCAACACCTTTGTTATACCACCTTCATCCTATGTCTGCTCCAGTATATATCACCTCCTTCAACACCTTTGTTATACCACCTTCATCCTATGTCTGCTCCAGTATATATCACCTCCCTCCCTTCAGTCACCTTTGTTATACCACATTCATCCTATGTCTGCTCCAGTATATATCACCTCCTTCAACACCTTTGTTATACCACCTTCATCCTATGTCTGCTCCAGTATATATCACCTCCCTTCAACACCTTTGTTATACCACCTTCATCCTATGTCTGCTCCAGTATATATCACCTCCCTTCAACACCTTTTGTTATACCACCTTCATCCTATGTCTGCTCCAGTATATATCACCTCCTCATCCACCTTCATCCTATGTCTTGCTCCAGTGTATATATCACCTCCTTCAAATACCTTTGTTATACCACCTTCATCCTATGTCTGCTCCAGTATATATCACCTCCTTCAACACCTTTGTTATACCACCTTCATCCTATGTCTGCTCCAGTATATATCACCTCCTTCAACACCTCCTTTGTTATACCACCTTCATCCTATGTCTGCTCCAGTATATATCACCTCCCTTTAACACCTTTGTTATACCACCTTCATCCTATGTCTCCTCCAGTATATATCACCTCCCTTCAACACCTTTGTTATACCACCTTCATCCTATGTCTGCTCCAGTATATATCACCTCCCTTCAACACCTTTGTTATACTACCTTTATCCTATGTCTGTTCCAGTATATATCACCTCCCTTCAACACCTTTGTTATATACTGCCTTCATCCTATGTCTGCTCCAGTATATATCACCTCCCTTCAACACCTTTGTTATACCACCTTCATCCTATGTCTGCTCCAGTATATATCATCTCCCTTCAACACCTTTCTTATACCACCTTCATCCTATGTCTGCTCCAGTATATATCATCTCCCTTCAACACCTTTGTTATACCACCTTCATCCTATGTCTGCTCCAGTATATATCACCTCCCTTCAACACCTTTGTTATACCACCTTCATCCTATGCCTGCTCCAGTATATATCACCTCCCTTCAATACCTTTGTTATACCACCTTCATCCTAAGCCTGTCTGGGAGACCAATTCTGAGCACCCATGGATTTTTGTAATTCAATTTTTTGCTATTAAACATCTCCCCACCCCCCCCAACTTGCAGTGCATATCAGCTCCCAGGACAAACTATGAACATTTGTTTCTTTGTTTATTGTGTAATGTCACCATCATCAATATTCCAGCTATATGGTGGCAGTCTGTAAATCATCAAGTCTGAACCAGACTAGCATGATCATCAATCTACGCATATGGGAATGGTACTTTGAAGAGCATCCTAGTTATATCACAGTGTGTCAGGTCAATGTTGAGGGAAAGTCTAAAGTGATGCAGATCTCAGACATTTATCACTATGGTGAAATACATCGGCATGTGTGACACTGACAAACCTTGTTACCAGAATTTGAATCCTTGACTAAAAGTTTCTTGTGTATCCAAGGGATGTAACTCTGCCAAGCAAATTCTGGTGCCTTTGATGCCTGGCCAAGTGTGCCTCCATATGTAAAGCACCCGTGAATTAGGATACAGGCTTAGAACATAGGTTCTCAACTAAGTCAGAAGTAGCAACTACATGGATTGGGAGGTCGGGATTGGGAGGTCAGGATTGGGAGGTCGGGATTGGAAAGTCGGGATTGGGAGGTCGGTATTGGGAGGTCGGGATTGGAAGGTCGGGATTGGGAGGTCAGGATTGGAAGGTCAGGATTGGGAGGTCGGTATTGGGAGGTCAGGATTGGGAGGTGGGGATTGGGAGGTGGGGATTGGGAGGTGGGGATTGAGAGGTCGGGATTGGGAGGTCGGGATTGAGAGGTCGGGATTGGGAGGTCGGGATTGGGAGGTCGGGATTGAGAGGTCGGGATTGAGAGGTCAGGATTGGGAGGTCGGTATTGGGAGGTCGGGATTGGGAGGTCTGGATTGTGAATGGATCATTGTTCATAATATCAATCACCAGATGGTCTGGTCCAGACTGATTATTTGCTGACCACTGCCAAATATTGGAATATTGCTTAACATATATAGAACAACGAGGAGAGTTCTATGGATATACAACTTCTTTGATATTAATATGAGCGATGTTTCGGTGTAATTACTAACACTGTCAGCAAGTAGTAGCTGCACCGAAATGTTGCTCATATTAACAATAAAGAAGTCCAATATCCATAGAACTTTCCCCATTGTTTATCGCACCAACTTCTAAATGCCACTCAAAGAAGTCAACATATACTGACAAACAAAAATATTATTGTTTGCTTCCCATTTATAATTCAGGTATCAAATCATCCATTTTTCTCATGATCATATCGAACGTGAGTCACAGAACACTTTTGCAATATGAAATATGCTGATAGCTGATGATAGTTTCATAACACGACTTCATATTTCAAACTGATGTAGGGGAACCCTTGAACTTTCTGCCGCCTGCTCATTTATCATTAGAGATAACGAGCCTATGATGTCACTTCCTTGACACTCGTTAGTCTTTGACAGCTTTCAGCTCCGATTAAATCACCATGCAAAGCACTTCCCTCCTGTTCTGCCATCATTCAGCCATCGCATTAAGTCTCAAACAAACTGTGCATTTCATGATTCATGGAATCCCATCCTGAAGACAAACTGAACATCTAATCCGGTAATTTCTATACATTGCACAAGTCAAGCATTACCAGGTCCTGACACTGCAGAGTGAGGTCACCAGGACATGGAGATGAATTATTCAATCAGATATTTCAGGATTACAGGAATGTGTTCGTATCTCACAAGGCATGTCTGGATGGGTTTGAACAATATGCCTGTCTTGATAAGATGCCTTTGTAGAATAACCAGCACAGCATCAAGGTTGAAGGCAACAAGTCCTGACACTACAGACATCATTCCAGAAATCATCAAAGAAGTGATCATGACAAATTGGGGCCCCTGATGGAAGATGGAGTCAGTCATGTGTGTGTTGAGAGATAAAACAAGGTATCAAGCCAGGACTCGCATAAAACTTCAATGTGGTTGAACAGGAATGTCCTAAGTACGTGATCAACAAGATTCCTCTTGTCTTTCAGTGTCATGTGACATGGAGCAGACGGCATGGGAGCAGCCAGCTAGAGCTGACAGCTTGGAGCTGACGGCTTAGAGCAGACGGCATAAAACAGTCACATCACATATCATCAAGTGACACCAAACTATGGACGAAAACTTGACAAGAGTTACAAGTGAATCAATCTCAAAGCAGTTAAATGAAATCTTAAAAAGAACAGAACCCTTTTATCTATTTACAAACCACAGAAGTAATGGCTAATGTCATATCACAAATGTTACACATTTATGGATGAAAACATTAAAATAACTCCATGTATATCTCAAAAGTCAAATAAAGTTTTATAAAAACCAACACCCTTTAATTTTATTTAAAAAACTAGTTTATAATGATAAACAATTTCAACAGGGACCATCACAGTAAATATAATCAAGTGCTACATCTTCGTCAATAAATATCAAAAGAGTTGCACTGCGATTTTCAAAGTTAAATTACATCTTATACAAACAAACAACTTTAAATTACAAACATATTACAAACTCAATTTCAACAGTAACATAGAAACTGATATCAAATAAGACTAAAAAACTTGTATTGATTGAAGGCAGACACAAAAGACCCAGAAACATTTGAATCAAAAGTCGGACACAGACAAAACATGTCAAGTCCAATGTTTGTTCACAGTATCTCAGAGGACTGGTTTCTCATTTAGGAGACTTACTGAGCCAAAGACACATAAAAATGACATTACGATACCCTCCATCTTACATAATAGGACAGAACAGGACAGAATGACAGACAATGTCCTCCTACACCATGGGAATACCATTCCAGGAGACATATAGACAAATGAAAAGCCTATATCAGTTCACTGGTGTTCCACTTCAATTTTGTTTCACATCTGGTTTATTAATTGACCATTTTAAGAGACTATAGCTTCTAGAATGCCCATCATATGTGACTGATCAGTAGTTCAATTTTATGGCATTTGGAGAAATAATTCTTAGACTTATGTTTTAAAACATAAAGGGTCAATACGATCATCACCAACTTTCATTCATGAAGTCTTCTCGTGTATCGTTCATAGTGATAATGAGCGCGTGAGCTTTTTTTATGGTGCTTTTAGCAATATCCCACCAAAATCATGACTAGGGACTTCAGAAATGGGCTTCACACATTGTACCCATGTGGGCAATTGAACCCGGATCTTCAGTGTGACGAGCGAACACTTTAACCAGTAGGTTACCCCAGTGTCCCTATCATAATGATAGTGTCCATCATGATCTCAGCTAATGGGGAGGACAAGAGGAGGATACGACAATGAAATTCACTTTGCAGAGATGCATCCCCGAGAAATGTCTGGATCCAGTGAATGGATACAGTGATTCCAACCCTGCTTGTTGACTTCTTCAATGTCAAAACACCATCTTCCGAACAAAAAAGCCTGAAAACTATGACATAACTGGAATACTGTTTACTACAGCCTGAAAACTATGACATAACTAGAATACTGCTCACTACAGCCTGAAAACTATGACATAACTGGAATACTGCTCACTACAGCCTGAAAACTATGACATAACTAGAATACTGCTCACTACAGCCTGAAAACTATGACATAACTGGAATACTGCTCACTACAGCCTGAAAACTATGACATAACTAGAATACTGCTCACTACAGCCTGAAGTCCATTTCACTCACTCACTCTTACAGCTTTGAGTATAAGTGTCCTGTGTCTTACCTGCTCCAATACAGGAACACAGGCCGTGTGGGCAACGACCTTGCAGGCGATACATTTCTTCCTGGGGCCTGTTTTCTGGAAAATAATGAGATATAAAATAAATATATAATAAGCATTCATTTGTTTGTCATACATATTTGAAGAGACATATAAACTGACCAATCATCTTGTATAATACCATTACAGAGTTGACCTATCCAAGGTTCAACTGACCCGTGAAGATCTGGGGTAGAATTGGTCTTCAGCAACCCATGCTTGCCACAAAAGGTGACTATGCTTGTCGTAAGAGGCTGATCACACTCGTGAAGGTCCAGGTTAGAATATTGATCTTCAGTAACCCATGCTTGTCATAAGAGCCGACTAACAGGATCGGGTGGTCAGGCTCGCGGACTTGGTTGACACATGTCATCGGTTCCCAATTGCGCAGATCGATGCTCATGCTGTTGATCACTGGATTGTCTGGTCCAGACTCGATTATTTACAGACCGCCTCCATATAGCTGGAATATTGCTGAGTGCGGCGTAAAACTAAACTCACTCACCCACTCACTCAAGGTTCAACTTCCCAACTTGTGTCTTCATGGTTGATAATGTATCACTTACAAATAGCACCATGCTCACATTGAAGACAGTGTGACACAAATACATAATATCAAGCCCTCATGTAAGTTAATTTGTGTTATTATCCCGGACAAGCAACTGCTCAGGTTGTTCTGGGGATTATTGACACTGCACTCTACCAAGAAACAAGACATACCGACATATTCAAGGAAGGACATTTACTTCATTGATGGTTACCAGAGCGGCCATCTTTTCACTGATGACCACCAGAGTGTCCATCATTTCACACCAACACACCAGTATTGACATTATACTTGGTTCCTGCTAGCACTAGCAGATGGTAGGACAAGGATGATCAACATTGACACACTCCTTGTGTTTACAGATGGTGAGTTAATAATTCTTGTTCTCTTTTGATCTAATAGTATACATTGTGCTTGCTTTCTTGAGCACCAGTGGATGCTGGAGAGGACAAGGGCGATCAACATTGACATTCTCCTTGATGGTAAGCTGAATAATTCTTGCTCTTTTCCAATCTACTGGTATTTACATTGTGCTTGCTTTCTTATATGTTAGCTCTAGTGGATGTTGGGGATTGATAAGCAATTTCAACACTGACATTGCACTGCCACCCTTGGTAAACTCAATATGCTTGCTTTCCTCACAGATTCTTGTATTTGCACTGCATTTGTTACTAAACTGGTCAGTAGTTGCATCTTCTTGAAATTCACTTCGGATTGTAAACTTCCTTATTACTTCTGCAAATGTTTGCAGCAAAAATGATAGCAGTTTTGAGTAACACTTTGCCTTGTCCAAGTCCAATGCATGAAAATATAGTCATTTCATCTATCCTGAAGTGTTCCTTCTTGTTGATATATACCATAACTTATCAAGAACAGGGGGCCGTTGTACAAAGTGACCTTAGCGCTAAGGTGGTCGTAACTCCCATACCTTAGCATAAACTTAAGGTAGCCTTAGTGCTAAGGTTGTTTTGTACAACGGCACCCAGGATGTTTAATTTACATTAAATATTGACTAAAAATGGGGCAATAGATGCTCAAATATGACATTTATAATCAAGAATTGAGTAAGGATAATGTTTTAAAACAAATGGGCACTCCATTCACAGCTATCAGCTAAAAATAGATCAGGCTAGTCTGAGACCTTATCAAATAAGGAACAGGTTTTGACATACATTATGATACCTCTATAATCTCAACGTGTCAGAAAACTTCTTATTGGCCTCCATCATGGCAATATAGAACAAACTTTATGGATAAAATGCCACTCAAAGAAGTTATCCATCATGGCAGCTTCTAAAGTCTAGTTATGAGGGAGCAAAGTATTCAGACAATCACACCTGATTTCTGTATCTAAAAAACAAGGATCCAGGAGTTCCTAATGCATAAACATAAAATCACACTTTTTTATTGTCAGTTATTTTAAACATCTCATTGTTTCTGAGTGCCCTGGCATTCCCAACCTAAAAGGAGAACTATCGGAGTTATTTTTACTTTCACTGATTGACATTTCTGAATCAAGGTGGAAAAGATATGAAGCTGCATAATCTTAGAGAGTTGACATTTGATTGGCTGAAGAACATTCACAGTTTATTTTGGTTAGGTGGTTAAACTTTTTTTCAGGTTGCATGTGATTTTACCTCCTGTGGAGGTATCTTCACATCTTCACACGGAAGGGACAAAAATGTGAATTTAATTAAATTGAGTTGTTACTGTGAAAAATACCCAAATCCAGCTGATATGAACATTGAGCTCCATTCAGTGCATTACGCAGATATTCTGTTCCTTAGTTCTGTCCATGTAGTTTCAAGAATAAGGGTGAGTGAGTATGGTTTTAGGCAACCTTTAGCAATATTCCAGCAATATTGTGGTGAAGGGAACCAGGCATGGGCTTCACACATTGTACCCATGTGCGGAATCGAACCCTGTGTGATGAGCTAGGCGCTAGGCTACCCTGCTCCGATTGACATCATGAGCAATGACCTTGGAATAGGATGGCATACAACTACATCAGTGAGTCTGACCACCCGATCCCTTGTCTCAAGACAAGCATAGGTTACCGAAGGCCTATTCTAACCCTGATCTTCACAGGTAGTTTGTAAAATCTTCACAGCTAGCTAGTAAAAGCTTCACAGGTAGCTACTAAAATCTTCACAGGTGGCAAGTAAAATCTTTACAGGTAGCTAGTAAAATCTTTACAGGTAGCTAGTAAAATCTTCACAGGTAGCAAGTAAAATCTTTACAGGTAGTTAGTAAAATCTTCACAGATAGCAAGTAAAATCTATACAGGTATCTAGTAAAATCTTCACAGGTAGCTAGTAAAATCTTCATGGGTAGCTAGTAAAAACACAGCTGAGGTCAAGTGTGTCAGGTAACAATCCAACAACGTCTTGTGACTAAATATAAGCATACTACCACAGCCACAATATTACTTTAACACAAACTGCCAAAATAGAAGACTCATTGTGTAATTTCCAAAATAACATTAGTCTTGCACCTTAAAGTAATGATATTGCCATCACCTAAATATAGAAATGAGGAATATTTTGGTACCACAGACTCCGAGACACCTGACTTGCCTGGAGGGCATTGTACCAAGAAGGAAATGCAATTTTTGTACTTCAATTGTGGGAATTCCTCTACAGCTTAATCACTTGATCTATCTACAGACAGGCAACCAAAACAATTACCACTTGGCCAGAGCCTGGGGTTTACACACATGGCTCCTCTCATCTGTGTTTAATCAACATGTTTTTGTCCGCTGCTTTGTAGTAGGGAACATTGTACTTGTGGATTGTTACACAGAAGGGGACTGAAGGAGGGTGTTTCTGTCTGTGTGTCCCAGTATATTATTAGGAATTGTTACATTTGTGGTGGTGTACAGAAGGAACATGTGTCGGTTTTCGTGTCCCGGTATATTGTTTTATGAATTGTTACAATGAAGGTGTATTGGGGGTGTACTGGATCAATGTGTTTCTGTCTTTGTGTCTTGGTATGTTGGTTTAGGATTTGGTTTGGTTTGGTTATTGTTTAACACTGCAATCAGCAATAATCCAGCTATATCACGGTCTGTAAATAATCTGGACCAAACAATCCAGTGATCAACAGTATGAGCCTCGTTCTATGTCAGCGAGTCTGACCATCCAATCCCATCAGTCGCCTCTTCCAACAAGCATGGGTTGCTGAAGATCAATTCTAACCCGGATCTTCACAGGTATATTGTTTTAGGAAATGTTACAATTAAGGTGTATTGTGGTGTACTGAAGCAAGGTGTTTCTGTCTTTGAATCCTGGTATCTATTCAGTCAGTGAACTGTTTTAGCAACTGTTACAATCAAGGTGTATTGTGGTGTACTGAAGCAAGGTGAAGCAAGGTGTTTCTGTCTTTGCATCCTGGTATCTATTCAGTCAGTGAACTGTTTTAGCAACTGTTACAATCAAGCTGTATTGTGGTGTACTGAAGCAAGGTGAAGCAAGGTGTTTCTGTCTTTGCGTCCTGGTATCTATTCAGTCAGTGGACTGTTTTAGCAACTGTTACAATCAAGGTGTATTGTGGTGTACTGAAGCAAGGTGAAGCAAGGTGTTTCTGTCTTTGTGTCCTGGTATCTATTCAGTCAGTGGACTGTTTTAGCAACTGTTACAATCAAGGTGTATTGTGGTGTACTGAAGCAAGGTGAAGCAAGGTGTTTCTGTCTTTGTTTCTGTCTTTGTGTCCTATTCAGTCAGTGGACTGTTTTAGCAAATGTTATTCAGTGTATTGTGGTGTACTGAAGCAAGGTGGTCTTTGTGTCTGGTATCTATTCAGTCAGTGGACTGTTTTAGCAACTGTTACAATCAAGGTGTATTGTGGTGTACTGAAGCAAGGTGTTTCTGTCTTTGTGTCCTGGTATCTATTCAGTCAGTGGACTGTCTTAGCAACTGTTACAATCAAGGTGTATTGTGGTGTACTGAAGCAAGGTGAAGCAAGGTGTTTCTGTCTTTGTGTCCTGGTATCTATTCAGTCAGTGGACTGTCTTAGCAACTGTTACAATCAAGGTGTATTGTGGTGTACTGGAAGCAAGGTGCAGCAAGGTGTTTCTGTCTTTGTGTCCTGGTATCTATTCAGTCAGTGGACTGTTTTAGCAACAATATTACAATCACGGTGTATTGTGGTGTACTGAAGCAAGGTGTTTCTGTCTTTGTGTCCTGGTATCTATTCAGTCAGTGGACTGTCTTAGCAACTGTTACAATCAAGGTGTATTGTGGTGTACTGAAGCAAGGTGTTTCTGTCTTTGTATCCTGGTATCTATTCAGTCAGTGGACTGTTTTAGCAACTGTTACAATCAAGGTGTATTGTGGTGTACTGAAGCAAGGTGAAGGTGTTTCTGTCTTTGTGTCCTGGTATCTATTCAGTCAGTGGACTGTTTTAGCAACTGTTACAATCAAGGTGTATTGTGGTGTACTGAAGCAAGGTGAAGCAAGGTGTTTCTGTCTTTGTATCCTGGTATCTATTCAGT